AGCTAACTACGTCAAAGACATACTCAAGAAGTTTGGACTGGAAAATGGGAAACCGCGTGACACTCCAATGAGCTCATCAACAAAGCTTGACATAGATGAAGGGGGTAAATATGTGGATCTTAAATTATATAGGTCAATGATTGGTTCTTTGCTTTATCTAATTGTAAGTAGACCGGACATTATGTTTAGTGTTTGCTTATGTGCTAGATTTCAATCATGCCCTAAGGAATCACATTTACTAGCTGTTAAGAGAATCTTTAGATACTTTAAGGACACTCCTAATTTAGGACTTTGGTATCCTAGAGACTCTAGTTTTAGCTTGCATGCCTTCTCTGATGCGGATTATGGAGGATGCAAATTAGATAGTGCTAATTCCTTGGAAATATGTTGATTTCTTGGTTTTCAAAGAAACAAAATTGTGTTGCATTATCTACCACTAAGCGGAATATATTTCAGCCGGTAGTTGTTGTGCACAAGTTTTATGGATGAAACTACAACTTTTTGATTATGGAATTGAAGTAGGTATCATTCCTATCAAGTGTGACAATACTAGTGTTGTTTGTCTCACTAAAAATCCTATCCAACACTCTAGAACTAAGCATATTAAAATAAGACATCACTTCATTAGAGACCATGTCGCTAAGGAAGATGTAGTTCTAGAATTTGTTGATACTTTGCATCAATTAGCGGATATCTTTACAAAACCTTTAGACAAAGAAAGATTTTAGACACTTAGGAGAGAATTAGGTTTAATTGGCCTATCTTCACTTAGTGTTTAAAATAATTTTAACATTTTTAAGAATAAATGAAAAATGCTTATAATAGTAATTTTTTATTGCATTCATTGCTATTAGTTAGGGGGAGTTTATGTTCTTTGGTGAAAATTAATTTTATGTCCAAATGTTGTTTAAGGATTAATTTGATTGATTGAACATGATTAATTTTCAATATATGAGTTGTCAATACCACTAGAGCTAATTAATTTAGTATTTTTGAGTGTTTAAAATGGATTTTTTTCATTTTTGTGCTTCATGCATCGATACACTTAACAGTGCATCGATGCATCCCTTTGAATGTGCATCGATACACCATGAAGGTGCACCGATGCACGCCTTGAATGTGTATCGATGCACGAGGCCATGCATCGATGCATCCATTGGGTTTTAGTTAAAAACCCTGATTCTCTTCTTTGTTTTAAAACCCTAAAAAACACTCCCTTGCCGCCTCTCTCTCTCTAAATCTCCATTTACTCAAAATCAACGAAAATTTGTCAGAATCTTCGAGCTTTTCATCTTTATATCATGCTACTATCATTAAATCGTGCAACACAACATCTCATTCTCATCAATCCAAAATTTTCAAGGTATTTTTCTAAAAACTTCTAGTTTATCATATTTTGATCTCAGGACATATCGAGCATTGATTTTTTGATGATTTCAAACTAGATTTTATAACCAATTTCATCAAAAACTCACAAATTTTCAAAGAATTTTTGAATTTTCGAAATTAAAAAAATCGAAAAATCTGAATTTAATTTTTAAATTTGATGTTTTTGATTTAATTATGTTATTTTCATGAAAACTATACATATTATGATTTTTCAAAAATTATTTTCAAATAGGTTTCAAAACCTTTCCCATCAGGATTCAGTTTAGAGAACCTTGAATTATTGAGGACTCATTTGTGTTTTTGGGATTGATTATTGTGCATATATGTGTTTTAAATTGCAGGTTTCACTCCTTTTCCGATTCCTAAACCATGTCTAATCCCAAACGCCCTAGAACTTCATCGAGTCATTCTCGTTCAAACCAACCTCCTAATCCCATTCCTCCTCCACCTACATCTCTTATAGGATCCTGTTTTAATATGCCTGAACGTCATAGAGACGACTTGTACTCTAGGTACATAAATTCTTTCCAATCCTAAAGAATCCGGGAAGAGCGTATTCCTTCTCTTCAAGCCATGATAGATATTGACTTCGAATACCTTCCGATTCTTAAAACTTGGAAGTTTGATAAAATGTTTCACCTCAAACCTATCGTCTATCATCAGTTAGTCCGCATTTTCTACTCCAATGCGGTATGCATTCAAAACCAAACTCAATGCGGGACTATAGCAATTAGATCATATCTTTTAGGCCAATATATTAATATTGACCCTGAGACACTAGCTTTCCGTTTTGGGTTAGATGACGAAGGTTTATTTATTGAGAATGAAACTGTGGATTATCCCTATGTTCCAAACGCTAGCGTTAGTACTCTACGTTTTCATCACGATCATTTTCTTCATTTGATGATCTCTTGGTGGTTTAGACCATCCGGAGGTAGGTACTCCACTCTTCGTGCTAGGGATTTATGGTGGATGCACTGTCTCAAGAATAAAAACAAAATAAATTCGCCCCATATTATTTTTAGTCAACTAGTGGATATCATAAACATTGTTCCTTCAAAACATGTCGAAAAATTAGTTTATGGATATCTTCTTAGTAAACCTTTTTATCAAACTTAGTCTAAACGTCTCTCTTGACTATTCAATTCCTCTCCAAAACCCAATCAATCTCATCTCGTTAAAGAAAGCCGATTGGAAACAAGACGAGTTAACCGGTCTTTGGGTCTTTCGACCTAGTAAGCAAACTCTGGGAGCGAGTTCTTCACGAGCTGCTCCGATCTCTTCTCGTGCTCCTTCTCCTCCTCCGGTACCGGCTGCTGACGATGATCCAGAATTTCAGCAGCTCATGCAAGATATCAACGATCACGTACCAGACGATGAGCCTGCACCGGAACCAACACGGCAAAAAGATCAAATGCCACCATATTTTCAATCTTTCTTAGAGTCGTTTGATCTGAGGTTTGCCTCCATGGAGTCTCATATTACTGAGTTTCAATGGGATATGCGTGAACGAATGGACGCTCTCACTCTTGAAGTTCGAGCTCATTATCATCCTCCTCCCGATCCTCCGATGGAGTAGATTTGTTTCCTTGTTATGCTTGCTTGGTTTTCTAAAACGTGGATTGATTTTGATGTTTCTGGATTGTTTATTATGGATCCTTAAATGTTTGAATTTGTTAGGAGTTATGATTTGGATGCTTGGCTGATTGAACTTATTATATGTATTTGGTTTGATTTTAACTTTATTATTTTGAGCTTAATTTTTATTAATTTTTTGCATCATTAGACATATATGACTAATTATGCCATTTCACATTTGATTATGAATATTGTTTATGAAAACTAATGGCTAATCTCTCTTTTGATTTTTGATCATAGCAGCTGAAGCTATATATATATATATATTTAATTAATTGGCTATGTTTTTCAAAACAATGTTTAAATCGATTTTTAAGTCTTTTTGATTTAACAAAAAGGGGGAGAAGTGTTAAGTGTTAAAATGTTTTAAAAGGGAGAAGTGTTAAAGTAAGGGGGAGTAATTTCAAACTTAATTTTTCAAAATTTATTTTTAAAGAAAATCTTAAAATTACACACATGTTTGGTTATATCAAAAGGGGGAGATTTTTGAAAACATTTTGATGTTTAGATATAACAAATTAAGTTAAATGAATTTTAAGATTTTACAAATGATTTTATAAGTATATTCGACTCAATTATTCGAATATCAAATCAATTACTCCAAGTCTTTTCAAGATCAAATTCAAACCTTACTAAATGTGTAAAATTGTGTTTTATACTTGATATATTTTTGAAACAATTTTCACAAAGTATTTTGAACCAAAATCAAGCCTAAAATAAATTTTTCAAAGTGATGCACTGATGCATCAATCCATGCATCGATGCACCATAGAATAAATTGAACATCGAATGCATTTCATGCATCGATGCACATACTATGCATTGATGCACTCAGAGTTTTATGAAAACATCGAATGCATTTGATACATCGATGCACCAACCATGCATCGATGCACTCTGGCTATTTTGAAACATCGAATGCATTTCATGCATCGATGCACTCTTAGTGCACCGATATACTAAGGGTCTAACGGTCAAAATATTTGAATTTTACACTTGATGCACTGATGCACCTTGGGTATGCATCGATGCACTGACACTCCCAACTGATTTAATTAATTATTTTCACACTTAAACGACTCTATTGACTCCACTAATCATCCCCAATATTCAGAATCATTTGAAGGAGTATTTAAACAAGCTTAGAAGACATTGATCAACAACAAGAAAACACAAGAAACAAAAATCAAGAGAGAATCAAAGAGAAAGTATCAAACCTCAAGTTTTTCAGAATCATTTGAAGGAGTATTTAAACAAGCTTAGAAGACATTGATCAACAACAAGAAAAACACAAGAACAGTATCAAACCTCAAGTTTGAGCATTTCAACACTATTTTCATTCATATTCATTTTGCTTCAAGAACACACTTGTACTCAATTGTATTCATTTTTAGTGTTCTTTCTTTGTTCTAGAATTGTGCAAACAATTACCTTGTGAGGATTTCCTTGTAAGTTTGCAAATTTGTAATCTTCTCTTTGAGAAAGAGTGTTCTCAAGAATTGGGGTATATTCTTGAGGGAGTTGTAAGGTTATCTCTTTGGCCTAAAAAAAAAGAACAAATTAGTGAATTTGTTGGAAAATCCTTAGTGTGGGTAGCTAAGGTAGTGGACGTAGACTTTGGTTGAGAAAGTCGAACCACTCTAAATCGCTTTGCAAATCTTTTCAATTTTCTGCAAAAGTTTCCACCAAAATTTTTATTGCCAATTCACCCCCTCTTAGCCAATTCCATCGATCGATTAACTCAACAGAGCTACTAAAACATTATGTTGAGTTAATCGATTGACGGAATCGGACAAGAGGGGGGTGAATTGGCAATAAAAATTTTGGTGGAAGCTTTTGTAGAAAATTGAAAGAAATTGCACAGCGATTTAGAGTGGTTCGACTTTATCAACCAAAGTCTACGTCCACTACCTTAGCTATCCACACTAAGGATTTTCCAAAAAATTCACTAATTTGTTCTTTCTTTTGAGGCCAAAGAGATAACCTTACAACTCCCTCAAGAATATACCCCAATTCTTGAGATCACTCTTTTCTCAAAGAGAAATACAAATTTGCAAACTTACAAGAAAAACCTCACAAGGCAAATATGTTTGCACAATTCTAGAACAAAGAAAGAACACTCAAGAATAAATACAATTGAGCACAATAAGTGTTCTTGAAAGAAAAATGAATATTGAATGAAAAATAGGCTTGAAATGCTCAAACTTGAGGTTTGATGCTTTCTCTTTGATTCTAATTGCTTGGTGTTTCTTGTTATTGATCAATGGATTCTAAGCTTGCTTAAATACACCTTGAATCACTTCTGAACGTTGGGGATGATTAGAGAAGATAATATAGCCGTTTTAGTGTGAAAACAATTAATAAAACAGCTTGGAGCGTGGGGGGAATCGGTACCCCCTATGGGGAATCGGTTCCTAAGTGAAAATTCAAATATTTCGACCTTTATACAAGGGGGAATCGGTACCCCCTGGGGGGAATCGGTTCCCTCCGAGCATACTGGAATTCTCAGAGCCAAACCATTCAAGGGGGAATCGGTTCCCTCTGAGCAATCTGGAATTTTTGGATTTGAAATGGTTCGAAATACTTTGTAAAATTATTTTGAGATTGTTTTAAGATTAAAACTTAATTTTACACTTGAGTAAGGATTAAAAATTATATCGAAATATCAAAATATTTTCAACAATCTCCCCCTTTTTGATATAACAAAACATTTTAGTAATTTTAAGATTTTGAAATCAAGTTTTGAAATTACTCCCCCTTACTTTAACACTTCTCCCATTTATCATTTAAAACACATTTAACTTCTCCCCCTTTTTGTTCAATCAAAAAGATATTTTAAAGAATTTAAACAAGGTTTTGAAATCATTTAGCCAATTGATTATATATAATATAAGCTACTAAGATCACAAGCAAGAGAAACGTTAGCCATTAGTTTCATAGTCAATATTCATAATTAATGTGACATGGCAAAATTGGTCATATATCTAACATGAAGTAAATGATGCAATAATGAATAAATTTAATCACACCAAATAGATAAGTTTCAAACAAATTCAAAATCAATCAATCCACAAATTCAAACATTCCAAAATATTCAAAATGTTAAAATAATAAGTTTGGAGTTCAAAGCAAAACATAGAATCACATATCAGGATCAAGAGGAGGAAAACGAGCTCGTATAGCGATCATTTCGTGAGTGAGGTCATTAATACGCGCGTTGGTTGCCTCATTGTTTGCACGCATCTCCCGAAGAATTTCTAATTGTTGAGCTCCCATTTTGGATAAGTGGGACTCTATAGAAGTAAAGCGCGAATCCATGGTAGCGTATCGGAAATCGAATGTCTCCATAAAGGATTGAAAATATGGAGGCATTTAATGCGCTTGTTGTACTGTCTCCTCGGGCTGCTCAGACTCATCTTCGGCTTCATCGATGTCTCGCATTAATTGCTCAAGCTCGAGATCTTCGTCAGCTTCGGGTGGAGCTTGTGAAAAACTAGCTCCCAGAGTATTTGCAGAAGATCGAACCCATTCACCGGTTTCCTTATCCTTAATCCATCCCGCTCTCGTTAAGGAAAGAAGGTTAATTGTTTCTTAAGGGGAAAATGGCATCTAGACCGACTCTAAGCCCAGCTTTGGAAAACAGATTACTCAAAATGCAACTGTAAACAAGAGATGAACAGAGTTTCTTGTTAGGAACAAGAGTTACGGTTTCAACAATTTCAGCAAAAATAATCTGAGGTAGGTTAATTTTAATATTGTTTTCGAAACAATGTAACCACCAAAGATCTAAGGCTCTAAGAGTAGAATAACGACCTCTGGATGGTCGAAACCACCAAGAAATCATTAGATGAAGAAAACGTTCATGTAGGTCTAAGACACTCGCACTATCTCTTCTTTTATAACGAGATCCTAAAACCTGTTTTTCATTTGAAATACCCTCGTTATCTAATCCGAATGTATTGGCTATGTAAGCCGAGTCAATATATAAGAATTGTCCTAGGAGGTAGGAAGGAATTCCTATGGTTTCAGTTTCAGTTTGATTTTTAACATAAACGGTATTAGAATAGAAAATACGAACAAGTTGATGGTAAACGATAGGTTCAAGGTCAAAGAGTTTATCAAATTTTCACTCTTGTAAAAGAGGAAGATATTTAAAATTAATAGCTAACATAGCTTGACGAGAAGGAATACGTTCTTCCCGGATTTTGTAAGAGTCGAAATATTGATAATACCAAAAACGATGATTTCTAGGACTAGGATGATTGAAACATGAATTTTGGATAGTCAAGTTGGGATCAATGGGATTAGGATTAGGAATTGGATTTTGAGGATTTGGAAGTGGATTTGGTTGACGGTATGAGCGACTAGATGATGACCTAGCACATTTAGGATTGGACATGGTTTAGGAAATCGGAATAGAATGGATAACCTGTAATTTAAAACACATGTATGCAATTCAATCAATCCCAAAACTCAATTGAGTCCTCAATATTTCAAGGTTCTCTAAATCAATCCTAATGGGCAATGTTTTTGAAAACTTTTGAAAAATACGGTTTTGAGAAACAATATATGTATAGTTTTCATAACAACAACATAATTTAATCAAAACACAATAATTTGAAAATTAACAATTTTTTTAATTTCGAAAATTTAAAAAAAATGGAAAATTCTTATGTTTTTGATGAAATTAGTTGTAATATCTAGTTTCTAATCACTAAACAATCAATGTCCGATATAAAGTTCATCCTAGAACTAATTAAAACTAGTCCTATGTTCAAAATCAATTAAATAGCGAGTTTAGAAAATTTTACCTTGAATGATGAGATTGAGTGGATTTTGATGTTGTTTGCACGATTTTAATGATGATTGCAAGTTTAGGAGATGATATTTGAAGTGAATTCCGATTAAAATCGATGATTTGAGGCAAGAATGGAGATAAGGAGAGAGTTTGGCGGCAAAGAAGAAAATATAGGGTTTTTGAGGATTTTTAAGGGTTCTGCACGTGTATAACCAGAACCCCAGGAGGGTATTTGATTCCCCTGTGGGGGGAATCGGTTCCCCTTCAAAGGGGGAATCGGTTCCCTCATGGGGGGATCGATTCCCTCTGCACCAAAATGCTAAAATCCGATTTTAAACACCCAAAATGCTAAATTAATTTCCTCTAGTGGTATTGGCAACTCATACATTGAAAATTAATCATGTTCAAACAATTAAATTAATCTTTAAACAATATTTGAACATAAAATTAATTTTTCATCAAGAATCATAAACTCCCCCTAACTAATAGCAATGAATGCAATCAAAAATTACTATTATAAGCATTTTTCATTTATTCTTAAAAATGTTAAAATTATTTTTAAACACTAAGTGAATATAGGTTGGTCAAACCTAATTCTATCCTAAGTGTCCAAAATCTTTCCTTGTCTAAGGGTTTTGTAAAGATATCCACTAATTGGTGCAAAGTATCAACAAATTCTAGAACTACATCTTCCTTAGTGACATGGTCTCTAATGAAGTGATGTCTTATTTCAATGTGCTTAGTTTTAGAGTATTGGATGGGATTTTTTAGTGAGACAAATAGAACTAATATTGTCACACTTGATAGGAATGGTTCATACTTCAATTCCATAATCAAAAAGTTGTTGTTTCATCCATAAAACTTGTGCACAACAACTACCAGCTGAAATGTATTCGACTTCAGTGGTAGATAATGCAACACAATTTTGTTTCTTTGAAAACCAAGAAATTAGCATATTTCCAAGGAATTGGCAAGTACCGGAGGTGCTTTTCCTATCTAATTTGCATCCTCCATAATCCGCATCAGAAAAAGCATGCAAGCTAAAGCTAGAGTCTCTAGGATACCAAAGTCCTAAACTAGGAGTGTCTTTAAGGTATCTAAAGATTCTCTTAACAGCTAGTAAATGTGATTCCTTAGGACATGATTGAATCTAGCGGTAGATAATGCAACACAATTTTGTTTCTTTGAAAACCAAGAAATTAGCATATTTCCAAGGGAATTGGCAGTACCGGAGGTGCTTTTCCTATCTAATTTGCATCCTCCATAATCCGCATCAGAAAAAGCATGCAAGCTAAAGCTAGAGTCTCTAGGATACCAAGTCCTAAACTAGGAGTGTCTTTAAGGTATCTAAAGATTCTTAACAGCTAGTAAATGTGATTCCTTAGGACATGATTGAATCTAGCACATAAGCAAACACTAAACATAATGTCGGTCTACTTGCAGTTAGATAAAGTAGAGATCCAATCATTGACCTATATAATTTAACATCTACACATTTACCTTCTTCATCTAAGTCAAGCTTTTTTGAAGAGCTCATTGGAGTGTCATGCGGTTTGCCATTTTCCAGTCCAAACTTCTTGAGCATATCTTTGACGTACTTAGTTTGATTGATGAAGATGTCATCTTTTTATTTGCTTGATTTGGAGTCCCAAGAAAAATGAGAGCTCCCCCATCATGCTCATCTCAAACTCACTTTGCATTAGCTTAGAAAATTCTTGGCAAATAACATCATTAGTAGAACCAATATTAATCATCAACATAAATTTGAACTACTAATAAATCTTTACCTTTATGCTTCAAAACCAATGTAGTGTCAACCTTCCCTTTTGAAAAACCTTTTTCAATTAAAAAATTTGACAATTTTCATACCAAGCTCCAGGAGCTTGTTTTAAACCATAAAGAGCTTTTGTCAATTTAAGAACATGATCCAGAAATTTTGAATCTTCAAAACCTGGAGGTTGTTCCACATACACTTCTTCCTTTATAAAACCATTTAAAAATGCACTTTTAACATCCATTTGATATAATTTAAATTCATGAAAACATGCAAATGCTAATAACATTCTAATTGCTTCCATCCTAGCTACGGGAGCGTATGTTTCATCATAGTCTATGCCCTCTTCTTGAGTATACCCTTGAGCAACAAGTCTAGCCTTGTTTCTCATTATATTACCACTCTCATCAAG